GAGAGAGAGAGAGAATTTTTAATATTTATTTTTTAGTTCTCGGCGGACACAACATCTTTGTTGGTATGTGGTGCTGAGGATCGAACCCGAGCTGCACACATGCCAGGCGAGCGCGCTACCACTTGAGCCACATCCCCAGCCCAGAGATTTTGTTTTTATACAGAGAATTTAACCCAGGGTCACTGAACCACTGAGCCACACCTCAGACCTTTTTAATTTTTATTTAGAGACAGAGTCTCACTAAATTTTTTAGGACCTCTCTAAGTTGCTGAGGCTGGCTTTGAACTCACAATCCTCCCATCTCAGCCTCCCCAAGCTGCTTGGATTACAGGCACATATCATCATGCCAAGTGGTTCTGTCTGTTTTTTGCAGTAATAAGGATGAAACCAGGGCTTTGCACTTGCTAGGCAAGCAGTTTACCAGTGAGATACATCCTCAGCCTCTAAATTTAAATTTAATTTAAATTAAGATAAACACCTACTGTATAATACAGCCATTCTACCCCTAGCATTTACCCAAGAAATATATCCATGTTTTTCTATAAAAAGACACATGTAAGAATGTTTATAGCAGCTTGTATATGTACATCAATTTAGTTTAGCTTTTAAAAATAAGTATATAAAAATATATTTTCAGATAAACAAAAACTGAATTTATTATGAAAATAACTATGCTAAATGAACTTCTAAAATGTGTTCTTCAAGAGGAAAAATAAATGTAATACCAAAAGAAATGTGAACAGGGCTGGGGATATAGCTCAGTTGGTAAAGTGCTTGCTTCACATGCACAAGGCTATGGGTTCAATCCTCAGCACCACCAAAAAAATTAAAAATAAAAATAAAAGGTGAACAAAGAATTTGTAAGTATGTGGCTAAATCTAAATAAAACCCGCTACTATAAATATTATTACTTATTATTTTAATTTTCAGGAGCTAAAGAAGGAGACAAGATTACCATATTATGGACCACCACAGTCAGTCAGTCAGGAGGGTGCCTGGAGTTAAAATTTTCTAACCTCTTTGTGTTATTTGGAAGTGGATATTAATGTTGTTTTTTGGTGGTTTTACAGGATACATTTTCAAGGATAACTTTGTTTAGAGCATCCAAATAAATTGCAACTTTTGTATAATACAATTTGTGCTACAAGACATTCTACATAGGGAACTATATAGAACACCTGAGGAAAAATATTCAAAATGACTCTTAAAAATAGAAAAATAGACTATTTGCTCTCCAAAATACTGAATTGAAGAATCTCAAGACTATATTGAATATCCAAGTGAATGTTTATTGTACTTGGAAGATGTGGATGAGTCAGTTCAACCTGCAGAAAGATCACCATTTTATTCACCTCTGAATCTGAATCTTTTTGCTTTGGTATCTCTACATGGACTGCATCTGAGTGAAAGAAAGATAGGTATGTAAATCTTTGACCATTTCTATATATTTTTCTTTGTGATTATGAATAAAATAGAAATATTTTTGAACTCTGATCATTTTTCTCACTGTCTAATACCTGAAGCTTTTCAGGCCTCCTCAAATACATGTTCAGGAGGGAGCCTAACATATCAGCTGAGAACTTAACTTTTTAGAAAACCGTGTTTTCTAAAAAACAATACTTGGAGGCAATGAACATTGTAATCATGACACTTTCCCAAGTGCTTCAGTTACACTCATCCATGTTACCACTACCTGCTTCTAGTTCTTTGTTGAACCTATTCTCTCTTGCCTATAATGCCAAGCTTGATGCCCTCTGTATATTTACTACTTACATCCTCATCCCCATTCAATACTTACTGCCTTGAAACCTTTTACCATTTAATTAATTGCTCTATCCTTTGTGTTCCCAGGTTGTTTTTTACATCTCTCACTAATTGCTTATTACTTTGTTTTTGTGGAGCATTATTTCCCCATTCAACTTGAATAATCAGTTCTCTGAGAAGTTGTCCCTGAAATTTCCAAGCTGGATTACTTGCTTCCAGCATTGATCAAAGTTAAGTTTGTCGAATGAATAAATAAGTGAATGAATGAAAGGATTTTTGAATAGACAAAGGAACTGAGTTGAGGTTTAACAACACAAGTTTGTAGAGGTTTGCACACTTCTGTTTTTTTATGATACCAAAAATGTTAGAATTACTTTTTGTCCAATGACAGACCAACATTACACAAAAGATGCATATGTTGTAAAATTCAATTTTAACGCTGGGTTGTTCTTCCAGTGATTTTCCATCTCTAACAAAGCCCTAGGCAACAACAGCTCAAACATACCTGATGGCCTGGGGACTGAATAGAAAGAGGGCTGGTCTTGAAGTCTTCTTGGGTATAAATCATGGGTTGAGATGCCATTAGGGAAGGACATCCTGTTGGACTGGGAACCTATAAATTTGAATGGAAAAGAAAAAGTGATAATTAGTTTTTAAATTGCTCTCCTAATATAATCGTACCAAGAGGACAAGTAGCCCATCTATAATAAATACTACATTTCATTAATGTCTTCTGAAAAGAATGCTAAATTCCAAATACAAAGAAAAAGGGAAAAAAATCTGTGAAGGAGCTGCTAATGTAAGGAAGGAAAATCAGAAATAAAAATAATTCTTTACAAGAAAGAGAACTCTGGGCTGGGGTTGTGGCTCAGTGGTAGAGTGCTCGCCTAGCATGTGTGAGGCCCGGGGTTTGATTCTCAACACCACATAAAAAAAAATAAATAGATAAAGTTTAAAAACTGCAACAGCCAGGCTGGGGTTGTAGCTTAATGGTAGAGTGCTCATCTAGCATGTGTGAGGCACTGGGTTTGATCCTCAGCACCACATAGAAATAAATAAATAAAAGCATTGTGTCCACCTACAACTAAAATATATTTTTAAAAATTGCAACAGCCTTTCTTTTAAAAACAGAGAACTCTGCCATCTAAAGGTCAATAATCTTCATGGGAAACTGAAGGGAAGTGTGCAAGTATATGTAGAATATGTTGAATATATACTGATATATGTATATCTTTGATATACTTCATTATGAGTATATGATTTGACAAGTCCACTTAAAGGGTAAATGTGAAGAATGTACATGATTTGTGGGATGAAAGTAATGAGGGAAGGGCAGCCGCATCAGGTTAAAGGCATTCAGGACTGAGAATTAACGCCTCATCAATTCTTACTTTGACATCTCTCTAGTTTATATCACTTTCCCAGTGACCAGATAAGCTCAAGTTTTAAAATATATCCAGAAGACAAAAGAAGGTCATTTAATGAAGAACAAGGAGGTTGCACAGACCCATTAATATAGGAGTAACCATTTCCCTCCTATATTGGTCTCTTCTTCATATAAGTTATCAATGAAAATGTTGTAGATGGCATGCTCTCTGATCATGTGAATAACATATTGGAAAGGATAATGAATGCATTAAATATAATCAGAAACATTAATGTTCATGATAGGGTAGATTGCCATTTGAATAAGATGAAGATTTATAGAGTCTTACACTTGGATCTTCTAAGAATACCCACACATGCATGGAATGGAGGATAAGTGAGAAGTTAAAAAATTTCACTTGAGGGATGGGGATGTGGCTCAGGGGTAGACCACTTGCCTAGCATGTGTGAGGCTGTGGGTTCAATTCTCAGCACCACATATAAATAAATGAATAAAATAAAGGTCCATTTACAACTAAAATAAATATCCATTCAAAAATTTGGGAGGGGGGGGTAAGAAAGACAGTGGAATGAGATGGGCATCATTACCTTAAGTACATGTATGAAGACATGAATGGTGTGAATATACTTTGGGTACAACCAGAGATATGGAAAATTGTGCTCTATATGTGTAATATGAACTATAATGCATTCTGCTCTCAGATATAAGAAATTAGAATTTTTAAAATGAGGGGTTTGTTTAAGTCAAGAGAAAAAAGCATGAAAATCAGGAAAGTTTGATGTTCTACTTATATCAATAATTTCTCCAACTGGAAGTTTATATAATAAGAACAAAATCAGCCTTGTTAAGTTTACTTTTTTAAATTGGTATCAGGGATTGAACCCAGGAGTGCTTAACCACTGAGCAACATCCCCAGCCCTTTTTTTATATTTTATTTAGTGACAGGATCTTACTTAGTTGTTTGCAGCTTTGCTAAATTGCTAAGGCTGGCCTTGAACTTGCAATCCTCCTCCCTCAGCCTCAAGGTGTGAATTTACTTTTTATAAATTGATTAATATAAAGTAGTAGTTAGTTCAAATATCAAAATGGCAAACAAAACAATAAACTTTCATCAAAAAGGGAGAAAAAGTAGCTTGGAATAAAATAAGAATTATACTTAATATGCATTATGCACATACTATTATTTGTATTTTGGATTATCTATTAATTCTGGAACACTTTACCTTTTACTATTCCACTTCTTCAGTGCCTTCTTATTTCCTGGGTTCCTTTCTCTATTCCCATTAGTCTTCTCCCAAAGCCTTTGCTCTATTTTTTTCCTGGATGTTGCCATTTGTTTGGGTTTGGAAGTGAGGTGTCTCCCAAAAGCTCAGGTGTGAGACAGTGCACGAAGGTTCAGAGGAGAAACGGTTGGGTTGTGAGAACCTTAACCCAACCAGTGAGTACATCCCCTGATGGGGATTAACTGAGTGGTAACTGAAGTGGTAGGGTGAGGCTGGAGGAGGCGGGAATTGGGGCATAGCTATGGGGTATATATTTTGTATCTGGAGAGTGGAGTCTCTCTCTCTCCGCTTCCTGATCACCATGTGAGCTGCTTCCCTCTCCCACTCTCTTCTGCCACGATGTCCTACCTCACCTTGAGCCCCAGGGAATGCAGCCGGCTGTCCATAGCTGAGAGGTCTGAAACCATGAAGGGACCCCAAATAAACTTTAACTGCCCTACACTTGTTCTGGTCAGGTCTTTCAGTCACAGCAGCGAAAAACCTGACTAAAACATAATTTCATTTTCCAATGAAAAGGATATGGCTAGATTACCACTTTAAATCATCTATATAATTTTTCATAACGGTGTAAATCATGATGACTTTTAACCACTATTGACATCCCATAGGAGTTTCTCTTACCATTCCATATGTAGATGCTTGCTGTGAAGTCACTGGATAGGCCACTGGAGGTAGTACCTTAAAGAAAAGCTTCAGTTACTATATAGTTTCTACTATTTAATAAAAGAACTATAATATGTACCACAGAACAACATTTCAATAGTAGTCCCACAGGAAAATTCTTATTTTTATAACCTTGCCTGATCTCTGCTCTCCTCCTGCTTCCTCTCTGCTTTATGCTCTCTTCCTCTCTGCTTTCTTTCTCTGCTCTCTTTCTCTCCTTTCTGCTGCTCTCTTCCTCTCATTTTCCTCCCTTTGGGTAGCCCCCCTAATAAAATCTCTTGGTTGAAAAGAAAAATAACCTTCACTGAGGGTTCAGGGGATTAAATTTAATAGTTGATGTGTTATATACTAGTGGGTTGGAGTACTGTGCCACAAAATCTTTACCATGTCATCATCATCATTATCATCATCATCATCTCCATTATCATAGATACACATATGTGTATATGTATATCCCATATATATTATATTTTTTGAGCAGTTACTGTGACCTAGACACTATTCCAAGTATTTTAGTCTTTTACCCTATTTAATCCCTATAACAACATTATAAGTAGATGTTATTTTATATGTGTTTTACAGGTAAGAAAACTGAGGCATGCAGATGTTCTGTACCTTACCCAATGTCACACAGATATTATGTAGGCTCTACCTAGTTTCACACTCAGGCAATCTGGCACTACAGCCTGTACTTTCAAGCACTATACTACAATGTGACATAAATCCCTCCTGGTTTAAGGCCTGCCAGCAAGTGGCATGAATTATTACTTCTTCCTTCTTCCTAAGTTACAAAAAGAATAGGTTTGAAACATTCTCACCACAAAAACATAAGGAGGTGAGGTGGATACATTCATTACCTTTTTAAATATCTCTATAATGGATACACACATCAAAACATCACATTGTCCCCATAAAATGTACAATTACTTGTCAAGTAAATAAATAAATAAATTTTTATTCTAATGTGGGTAAACTATGAAGACATTATGTCATCTGAAATAAGAGAGATACAAAAGTACAAATATTTTAAAAGACCCAAATATCACAGAGGGAAGAACTTTCTTTTCCATTAGGCAGGCTGTGTTATATAAGGACAGGGACATAAAAACTATTTTTTTTCTAATTCTCCATTTTAACCACTTAAGACCTCACTTGTTTCAATCACAGAAGTGGTTGTAATCTGGTTAGAAAACTGGAAAATACCAATGGGAAGATGTTTAATGAACTCCTCAGTTCATTGACAACTTCTCCTAACTGTGCTTGAGTTGACCTAATCTTGAGTATAGCAAAGACTGTGATCACTAAACCAGTGAAAAGACCTATGTCCAGATCACAAGCTGATCATTATATGGTACATGTGCAAGACAGTCCCAAAGAAGAGCACAAAAATATGGAAACTGAGCTGACACTGGAACCAGAAGCCAAAGAGGCAGTCACTACTTGCTACTTAAACCTATGTAGGTCAAGTACCAGTTAAAATAGAAAAATCAACATTCTTCATAAAATTTAACAAAACAGCCAGGCATGGTGGTGCATGCCTCTAATCCCAGTGGCTCTGAAGACTCAGGTAGGAGGATTGTAAGTTCAAAGCCAGCCTCAGCAAAAGTGAGGTGCTAAGCAACTCAGTGAGACTCTGTCTCTAAATAAAATACAAAATAGGGCTGGGGATTGGCTCAGTGGCTGAATGCCCCTGATTTCAGTCCCCAAACCCTTCAAAAAATAAATAAATAATCATAAAATTTAATAAAACAGAGTCTTAAAAAGTAATACTCAAAATGTATGGGATACCATCCAAAGTTACTTGGCACATGATGAACCACAAAAATCTTTTTGCTGGAAAAGACATTTAATAGAGGCCAATGATTCAGATGACCATAGTTTTTGTTGTTGTTGTTGTTGTTGTTTTTATGAGAAACCAATGCAGGCCAGAATAAAGCAGCACATTTTCAGGTGCTCTAGGAAAAAAAAAAAATCAAAATTCTATATCCAGTGAGAATTTGCTTAAGGAATAGAGATGAAATAAAGCCATTCTCAAGTGGAAAAATAAAAAGAGAATTCATAGCCAAAATTTCTGACACCAGAAGTTCTTCAGATGGAAGATAAATGATAACAGAAAGAAACTTGGAATATGAGCAATAAAGGAAGAGTAATAGAAATGCTGAATACCTCGGTAAATGTCACAGAATATTTTTTCACTCTTGATTTCTATAGAACTTATTTGATGGTTGATAGTAAAAAGTGTAACATAAAGAAAGATAAGACCGGGCTGGGGTTGTGGCTCAGAGGCAGATCGCTCATGCTCATGCGTGAGGCCTTGGGTTCAATCCTCAGCACCACATGAAAATAGAATAAAGACATTGTGTCCACCTATAAGTAAAAAATAAACATTTTTAAAAAAGAAAGATAAGACCCCTATATGGTGCTAATGTTTCTATATTCCAAAATGGAAATGGTAAAATGGTGATCTCAGTGGACTAAAAATGTATTTATTTTCTAATTTCTAGAGTAACAACTAAAAAAAACTATACAGAGAGATATAGTACAAATCAAAATATATAAATGAAAACTGAGTACTAATAAAATAGAGAGGCTGGACACAATGGCACACACTTATAATCCCAGCAACTCAGGAGGATGAGGCAGGAGGATGGCGAGTTCAAAACCAGCCTCAGCAAAAGCGAGGTGCTAAGCAACTCAATGAGACCTTACCTCTAAGTAAAATACAAAAATGGCAGCTGGGGATATACCACTATTGGTAGAGTGCTTGCCTCACATGCACAAGACCCTGGGTTCAAAACCCAGCACCAGAAAAAAGTAAAATAAAATAAGCTGAGTGCAGTGGCAAACACCTGTAATCCAATTGGCTCAGGAGGCTGAGACAGGAGCATTGTGAGTTCAAAGCCAGCTTCAGAAAAAAGCAAGGCCTATGCAACTCATTGAGATCCTGTCTCTAAAGAAAATACAAAGTAGAGCTCAGTGGTTGAGTGCCCCTGAGTACCAAATATATATATAAAAGAACATTGAGGGCAAGAAAGAGGAGACGGGAACAACAACAACAACAAAAAAAAAAAAATAGAAGGAAGAAATAGAAAACAATAAAACGGCAGACAGACCTAACAACAAGTCCACCAATGATGAAATTAAATGCAAATGGATTAAACAAAACAAATAAAAAACAGAAATTGTCAAAATCAATTTTTAAAATATCCCAACTCTATACTATACACAAGAGACTCAATTCAAGTATGATGATATAGTCAACTTAAAAGTAAATGTATCAGGGCTGGGGGTTGTGGCTCAGTGGTAAATCAGTTGCCTAGCACGGGTGAGGCATTGGGTTTGATCCTCAGCACCACATAAAAATAAATTAAAAAATAAAGTTATAAAAACAATGTAAAAAAATGAATGTATGAAGAAAAACATACAAACACTACTCAAAAGAAAGTTGTTATACTGACATCAGAGTAGACTTCAGAGCAAGGAAAATTACCAGGGTAAAGGGGAATGTTACATATTGAAGCATATCTGGGGACTTAATACGTCTCTGAATTCTGTAGACCGAAAAATTACACAGAAAATTAGCAAAGTTTTAGAACAAATTCTAATTGCCATTTCTAGAACATATCACCCAACAATAGCAGAACACATTTGCTTTCAAGCCTTCATAAAATGTTCACAAAGACATACCGTATACTGTGTCATAAATCAAAATGTAAATTTAAAAGAATTTGAAATATACAAAACATTTTATCTGACCACAAAGAAATCAAACTAGAAATCAATAACAGAAAGACAACAACAACAGTTTCCAACATTTAGAAATTATATAACATACCTCTAAATAATCTATGAGTCAAAAGAAGTAGAAAATATACTGAATTGAATAAAAATGAAAATACAATATAATAAAACATTTAGCTTACATCTAAAGCAGGGCTTAGAGTGAATTTTATAGCATTGGTGAATTGTATAGCATCAAACACTTTTATTAGAAAGTATGAAGTCCGGGCTAGGAATACAGCTCAATTAGTAGAGTGCTTGTCTTGCATGCACAAGACACTGGGTTCAATCCCCAGGACTACAAAGAAAGAAAAAAAGAAAGTATGAAGTCAATAATCTGAAAACAGGAAACCAAAATCAAGCAAAAGGAAAAAGACAACAAAGCAGAAATCAAAACAATTGGAGATTGGAAAAAAAATGGAGAAAATTCAATGAGACTAAAAGCTGGTTCTTTGGAGGAAAAAAAAATCAATAAAACTCATAACCCTCTAAGCAAAACTGAGAAAAAGAAATAAAACAAGACATTAGTGAACCAACAGAAAGAGTTGGGCAACCCCTATCAGTTCCCCTCTTACTCTGCCCTGCAGGAGTTCTGTTTCTATTCACACTTGAATAAATCCTACACGTAAATAAATCTGGACCACCCAAAAATGAATAAAAGAACAGAGATCTCTAAAGAACAGCTGTATGAACATAAAATTTGACCCAAATTTATGTTATTTCTACATCTCATTCTCTTTATTCTGACCCCAAACTTCGTTGCTATAGCTTCTCTAGCTTATTAATCATCTGTGTTGTTTTTTTTTCTTAAGCATCCATTTCCCTCAACTTGCTCTAGTCATTTTCAAGTGTATTTCAACAGCACAGCCACACCTTTCCAAACTATGTTTCAAAATTACTTATTCCTTTTTCCCAAACCCTCCCAAAAATCTTATTACTAAGATATATATTTCAGCTGGATATTAGAAAAATAAGTCGCTATGTACTCAATAATTAATTTTGTTTGTTTGTTTGTTCTATCATTGGACAAAGAATATTTTAAAGCAAAATAACAAAAAATAGCTGAGGTTCACAATCCTTTATTTTAAATCCTTGGGGCCAAATGTATTTCTCAATCCAGAAAAGCTAAAATATGACTTCCCCAATAATTATCTGCAATTTTAATATCCCAAAAGCTCTGGGAAACAAGTTTATTTCTTTTTCTTTCTTTTTTTTAAAACATATGAGAGAGAATTTTTTAATATTTATTTTTTAGTTTTCGGCAGACACAACATCTTTGTTTGTATGTGGTGCTGAGGATTGAACCCGGGCCACATGCATGCCAGGCGAGCGCGCTACCGCTTGAGCCACATCCCCAGCCCAAGTTTATTTCTTAATGTTTGTGATAAACCCTTTGTGTTGCAAAATGTTACCCAAGCTATAATGAGGCTATAGTCATTATTTATCCTACTATGAGCAAATATTCATACATTATCATCTGTGCATTTTGCTGAAAAAATATTAATGCATTTGATGAATATGTGCTATCCCTCCCCTAGGGCTATTACATAATATGTATTATTTGTATTTTCTAACTTGTCAATTGATGATGGTTAATTTACTTCATCTCCTTTTATCTCATCTTCACCTCCTTTATGAAATTAACCAACAAACCCTCTAAAGAATTCCATGCTAGTACTTATAATATTCAATACCTTTATTTCATGATATTTCTCTATACTCACAGCTCCTTTAAAACAGTCATGTTCCTATTGGATTCTGTATCTTTACCACTCAGCACACTGTTTGGAACTAACAGAGACTTAATAAACATGGAGCAAAATGATGGAAGATTCTGGGTTGGGAAAATAATTTTAGGATTTACACATGTCCAAAATTTGAGTTTTCACGCTTTAGTTTATAAAATAGTTTAATATGTATACAACATTGGTGCAATACATTAAAACTGGTTAAAAAGAAAAACTGTCTTGCTCTACCTTCTTCCTTAAAACAAATTTCTGTTATACATTTACATTTAAAAGAAAAAAGTAATAATATAGCCAAAATATTACCATGTGGGGAACAAGAGGAGCAGAAATAGAATTCCAGATGGTTGATGTACAAGAGGAGGTATTCAACTGCCAGTTCATTCCACCATTAACTTCCATTTCTGAAGGTTGACAGCACTTCACTTCAGTTCTAATAGAAAAATGATAATATCTTCAATAAATTGTGTTGGAAAACTAGATATCAACATGGAAAATAATGAAATTAGACCCTACTTCACACCATATACAAAAATCAACTCAAAATGGATTGAACACTTAAAACTAAAACCTAATACTTTAAAATCGCTTGCTATATATAGTTTGGATTTTAAATGCCCCCAAATGCCTGTGTGTTGAAGGTTGCCAGCCTGAGGTGTCATGGGGAGGTGTAGAACCTCTCTCTCTTTCTAACAAGTAATTACTATATCTAATTTTAAAATGACTTTAAAGGGCTAGATTGTGGCTTGAGTGCTTCCCTAGCATGTTTCAAGCACTGGGTTTGATTCTCAGCACCTAATATAACTAAATGAATAAAACAAAGGTTCATCAACATCTAAAAAAATAAAAATGATTTTTGAGTTTTTACTTTTATGAGTCACTTCATGGAATATGTATTTGCTGTAATTTTTAAAAATAAAAACTTACTTGTCAATGGGGCTTTCTCCAAAGTTAAGATCTATTTCATAAAACAAATACAAATTTTACATTATTTTTGTGCAAATATTGTTTTCTTAAAATGTGTAAAAATATATTAAAATATTAATTGCAAAAATAGTTGTTTACTTCCTATGAGGCTAACAAGTGAGCCATCCAAGTTGTTTGCTATTATCGTTGCACCTTGCTGTTTGTCTCCAACAGATTTGTCGGCTGCTGAAGGTAATGTAAATTGTAACACATCATGTAGGGGAAACAATCTGAAAATAAGAGACAGAATAAGATAAAAACATAAACCAAATTTACATCAGAACAGTAATGACATATATGTAGCCACCTGGTACAAACTAACAGGATTTCAAATATTTAGGTAAATGAGTATAAATAAAGTGATGTTAAGTTATTAATACAGTAATCTTAATTGAGTAGTTGTTATGTGCCACACCGTACTGTGCTAAAGACAGACAGCAGTGAGGCACATCACACCCACCTATAATCCCAGCAGCTTGGCAGCCTGAGGCAGGAAAATCATGAGTTCAAAGCCAGCCTCAGCAATGGTGAGGCTCTAGGCAACTCAGTGAGACCCTTCTCTAAATAAAATACAAAACAAGACTGGGGATGTGGCTTAGTGGTCAAGTACCCCGGAATTCAATCCCTGGCACCAAAAAAAAAATGCATGCCTTCATATAGTTTACGTTGTATTGGAGACAGAATATTACCAAGAAAAATCAATTTTATGTTAGATAGTGATAAGTCCTAAGAAAAAGAACATCATGGAAAGGGATATGATCTGTTCAAGGAGATCTGTCCAATAATGAGTGGTGGTTTGAAAGCAACTACTGGGTGATATATTTTCTCAAGTTCTCCATATATATCTAATAATTTTTGCTTTGTGTATTTAACTTAGTGCATGCAGTAGTTTAGATTTTAAATAGGATAGGCTCACTGAGAACTGAACTTTTAAGTAAAGACTTGAAGGATATGAGAGTAAACCACTGTGATCTAACAGAAGAGGAAAGACCTTGAAGAAAGAATGCATTTGGTTTGTTTGAAAAACAATGAGAAGACCAACATTTTTGTAGCTGAAGTGATCAAAGGGATCAAAAAAGCAATTGTGGCAAGGGAGGGTTCAGATCATAAAGGTCCTTTCAAGAAATTGTAAGGATTTTGATTTTTATTTGGAAGCTACCACCCCAGGCCAACTTCCTTGAGGTGGGTAAGCCATTAAAGGGACTTGAACAGAGGCTATAGGAGAAGCAGAGAGGTGGTAAGGAGGCTCTTGCAGCAGTCTCTGATGAGTTTCTGCCTTATTATTGTTTTCCCAGTACCCAGGCAGTGCCAGGGACATAACTGACAATCACAAAGTCAGCAAGTCCATAAATAATTGCTGAATGAGGAAATTAAATGCAGTATTGCATTCAAGTATACGGAATATATTTTCAAAAACTATAGCTGCACATAATGACCTAAATGCAACTGTTAATAGTTTGCATTTATAATATATCTATTCAATTACAATAAATTTTTTATTATTGTTAAATAAACTAATTTTTTGTATTTGGGATTGAACCTAGGGCACTTAACCACTGAATCACATCCACAACCCCTTTTTTTAATATTTATTTTTCAGTTTTTGGTGGACACAACATCTTTATTTTATTTTATGTGGTGCTGAGGATCGAACCCAGCGACCCACGCATGCCAGGCGAGTGCGTTACTGCTTGTGCCACATCCCCAGCCCTCCACAACCCTTTTTGTTTGTTTTGATACAGAGTCTCACTAAGTCACTTAGTGCCTCGCTACACTGCTAAAGCTGATCTTGTATTTGCAATCCTTCTGTCTCAGTAAATAAAATAATTTCCACTACCAATTTTCAACAGATATCAGAATATATATGCAATAAATCTTATTTTTCAATGATTATTAGAATGAAATATTTCCAAAGTCATTGTCACTAATTGCTAATACAGAAATTATTATATAATGTATTAATCATGTTTAAAAATATCTTAGACTACTGTAAAACATTGTTAATTCAATGAGTCTCTAAGTAAATATTTTACATACAGAGCAGAAAATATGGTCAACAACACAACTCATGTCTATCTCATAGTTTGTATTGTTTAGCTGGAAAATTATAATTTTTGAATACTTTGAAAGGAATACAGGATGCTATATGAATGTATGAAGGACATTTGACTTCATTTATGGAGTCAAGTATAACTCCTCTGTGTTAGTTAATCTGAAACTTAAAGGATAAAATATAGGTTAAACAAACCATGAGGGTTGGGGCCTAGGGAAGGAGGACAAAGAATTCCAAATGGAATAGAAATACCCTGGGGATGTTTAAGTAAGTGAAAGAACTCTAGTATTCCAGAAACTTGGGCAAGAATGACAAAAAATAAATGAAGATTTGGGGCTTTATCCTTGGATAATGGAAAGTCTCTGAAAGATTTTTAACAATGGAATGTCATGATTATATTCCAGTCTCTAAAATATCACTGTGGTTTTAATAAGGAGAAGGAATCAGAGAAGGGTAAGAATAGATGTAGAGAATCCAGTTAGGTGGCTATTATGTATTCCAGGAGAGAAATAATGGTGGTTTTAATTAAGTCTATAGCATTTTAGTTTCAGAGGAGTGGAGAAAATTCAGAGAAGTATAATGAATAGAATTTCATAGTAGATTGGAGTAAAAGGAGAGAAAATTATTTTTAAAAAAATAACTCACAGGTAGCAACTGAGGCCCTGGTTGGATGGTGGGGCCACTTTCTGAGCCCAAGGCAAAAGCAAGGGAGTAAGGTTTAGGAGATGGTAACTAAACAATTTTTCCGCCTTTTTTTTGGAGGGGGTACTGGGGATTGAACTCAAAAGAGCACTCGACCACTGAGCCCCATCCTGAGCCTTCTTTTGTATTTTACTTAGAGACAGGATCTCACTGAGTTGCTTAGTGCCTCACTTTTGCTGAGGCTGGCTTTGAGCTCTCAATCCTCCTGCCTCAGCCTCCCGAGCCATTGGGATTACAGATGTGTGCCACCATGCCTGGCATCAGGTTCATTTTTAATAAATCAAGTTTGAGATAACTGCAGAACATGCAAGTGGGGAAGTCAAGTAGACAGTAGGATATATTAGTTTTGAGCTCCAGATATGAATATAAGCAAGGATATAAATTATTTCTATCTATATATTCAGAATATGGATAGTAATTTAAACCATGAGGGAAATGTCTTCAACCAGAGAAAAACATTGAAAGAAACCACCAAGGATACTGACCTTTTGTTCTACCATGAAAGAAAGTGGGTAGGACAGTTGAAAGGTTTGAGAAAAATGAGAAAAGCAGCAAGTAGAGCCAGAGAAAAGAAGCCACAGAGAAGTGTAGGGTGAGCAAAATGTAAAGAAGAGATTATTATACAGGTTTTAATCTTTGGTGAGACTAAGAAAAGACAAAAGCAAAAAAAAAAAAAAAAAGATCAGCGCTTACTATGGGCCACATTCTGTTCTAAGCACTCTACCTGTATCAACTTACTTAATCCTGACAGCAACCTTATGAAGATAGAAGTTGAAACACAGAGAGGTTAAGTTAACCTCCCTAAAACACAAGGTCTATGAGTAGCATAGCGAAATTTGAGCCCAAACATTCTGACCCCATGACCAACATTTTAAAATCACAGTATCACAGTGACTTAAGAGATGAAGTGTTTTCAGCTGATTCCACAATTGTTCATAGAATTGGCTTAAGTAATGAAGGTGGCATGTATGAAGTTCACCAGTGACCAGTCTTGGTCTGGCAGGAATCATGTCCATATGTTTTCATTATACTGTAGTTCTCCCAATACTCTACTTGGGACTTACATTCACATTGAACTGGATCTAGAGATTGTTCTCTTGACCACTATGATTAACTATATTGTAAAATCTGTTGTAAGAAATAATGATTCACAAACCATAGGACTCAGAAACGTGACAGTAGTAAATCTAATTGAAATTAAGCAAGTGTTTAATTTATGCTATATATATGGTTTTATTCAAAGGATTAAGGTTCATCATAGTTTTGGTCAAACTCCCTCATTAAACTCACCCATTAAAATGCAGAATTCCATTGGAAGTATATGCATAAAAGGAAAAAAAAGAATTTAAGTCTTTAAGTTAAATTAAGAAAAATTAATTCAGAACATATAAACCCTATAATAATATAGCTCATTATTACATGGATTTGTGTCTACAGTAAATAATCAAATAACATCACGGAAATAACATAACCTACTATAAAAACCAGAATTTGGCAGCCTATGAGAAGCCATGTACCATTAAATGTATAACAACCAGCTCTCCAGGTTAAAAAGAGGAGGACTAATTTCTGTAATGTAAATACTACCACCAAGGTCAATTTCAAGCTACCAAAATGACATCAACCACCTAACAAAATTCCTGAAAATTTAATGACCTTAAGGGACTACAAAGGACTCCTACTTTAAACATTACAAAGTGTCACACTGTATGTTGGTCGAGGTGACACACGCCTGTAATCCCAGCTGCTTGGGAAGCTAAGATAGGAGGATCGTGAGTTCAGGCCAGCCTCAGCAATGGCAAAACGCTAAATAACTCAGAGAGACCCTGTCTCTAATAAAATACAAAATAGGGCAGGGATGTGGCTTAGTGGTCGAGTGCCCCTCAGTTTAATCCCCAGTACTCCCCATGCCAAAAAAAAAAAAAAAACACAAGGTGTCACACTGTGTGTGTGTGTGTGTATTTGTTTCTTTGTAAAATTTATATATTAACAGATAATTGTTTACATGGTACAAAATTCAAAAGTTATAAAGTGGCATATAGTGAAGAATCTCCCACCCATCTCTTTCCATAAACCACCATATTATTCTTGAAGGCAGCCCATTTTAATTCACTTCTTACATATTCTCTTTAGCATACTATGTTTCACACCTTACTCATTTGTTATTAAACATCTTGGAGATGATTCCATCTCAGTACATAAAAATAAGCTTCTTGGGCTGGGGATATAGCTCAGTTAGTAGAGTGCTTACCTTGCATGCACAAGGCCCTAGGTTCAATCCCCAGCACCGCCCCCCCCAAAAAAAGATTCTACTCCTGTCTTAATTATTATTGACATGATCATGTAATAATGTCATATTACCTTCAAACAAAGTTGTGCTTCCTGAAGCTTTTGAAACTGGACCAGCTGGGATGGATGGAATACATACATGTTGGAAACTAAAGAAATCATAAGAAAGATGAGGGACAGTGGAAGATAACTAAAAGCAATTATCCTACCTAGCAGAGCCAACATTTCTTTGATTCATCCATGTATTCTTTCATCTATTTAACTATGTAGTAACTGTATACTGATCTGTGATAAAGAGAGGATAATAATAAAATCAATTACAGTCAACATAATCTACAAAAGTGGAATGAGAGACTGGGTAGATCAATGAAAGAACTTATGTCTAGCATTTACAAGGTCCTGGGTTCAGTCCCCAATACTGAAAAAATAAGCAAACAAAAACCCAAACAATAAAAAGGGGAATGAATACTACATGACCCATGTAGAATGTTGGACAATACAGAAAGTATAAAAAGAAAAATGAAATCAACCATAATTGTTCCACTCAGAAATAGTGGAAGTTTTCAGAAGATAAACTTCAAACTTTTTATTATTCAATTTGTATGTAATGTGTGTGTCTATGCACCAGACATGTTTTGAACGTTATTCTGTTTTGTAAATGAACAGTTTACTGTGCCATTAAATAATCTTCCACAAGGCTGGGGTTGTGGCTCAGTGGTAGAGCTCTTGCCTAGCATGTGTGAGGCACTGGGTTCAATCCTCAGCACCACGTAAAAATAAAGAAAGAAAATAAATAAATAAATAATGGTATTGTGTCCATCTACACCTAAATTTTTTTAAGAGAGAGAGAGAGAATTTTTTAATATTTTTTTTTTTTTAGTTTTTGGCGGACACAACTTCTTTGTTTGTATGTGGTGCTGAGGATCAAACCCAGGCCGCATGCATGTCAGGCGAGCGCAATACTGCTTGAGCCACATCCCTAGCCCACTAAATTTTTTTTTAAAGATTTATTTTTTAGTTGTAGGTAGCACAACACCTTTATTTATTTATTTATTTTTATGTGGTACTGAGAATCGAACCCAGGGCCTCACAAGTGCTAGGTGAGTGTTCTACCACTGAGCCACAACCCCAGGCCCCTACAACTAAAAATTTTTTAAAAGACAAAAATAATCTTCTATGGGCTGGGGTTGTGGCTCAGTGGTACATCGCTTGCCTAGCATGTGTGAGGCCCTGGGTTCAATCCTAAGCACCACATAAAAACAAATAAATTAAATAAAGGTATTGTGTCCAACGATAATTAAAAAATAATAATAATAATCTTCTACAACAACAGAAATTTTCACTAGGGGAGGAATCAAATTTTTTTTTTTTAGTTGTTGATGGACCTTTATTTTATTCATTTATTTATATGTGGTGCTGAGAATTGAACCCAGTGCCCCACACATGCTAGGCAAGTGTGCTACCACTGAGCCCCAGCCCCAGCCCCAGCCCCAGCCCCAGGAAGCTAATTCTTGAAAAGTGACATTTCCATCTCAATCTCAGACATTCACTTTAATAAAACACATTCCCTTGTGAAGAGTATGGTATCCCACAAAAGACTTAAAAACACAATTCCTATCACCATTTAAAATATCTGAATAGTATTCCATCATAGTTATAGCCCTTCCTTTTGTCAATTTCATATTTTTAAATATTTAGGCTGAGGGAAATTACCTAGAGGAAAAAAATTAACCTATATTAATATATTCATTAACTTACCCATAAGGAGGTAAAATGTCATTTTTCTCTTCCAAAGAAGCTAAATGTTGTTTTAGTGCTTCAATGAAACTGTAGGGTGCCTAAAAAGTTATTACAAAATATTTACTCTTTGATAGCTTTAGCACACAGTCACCCTCCCATCATGCAAACCTGGAGGAGATGCTGTGGTAAGTAGAAAGATGCAGCTAGGCACACACCCCAACAGAACCAACCAGAAGGTCCCCAGGATTGCAGCCCTTGACATACTCTGATGAGGGGACATTATTTTTGCACTAGTTTGGAGAAAAATTGCATCACACTGCAGACAGCAGATCTTGCTACATGTATCTGCAAGAGTCGTGCCCAATGGGAACTGTGGAGAATCCCTGAAAACACAGGGACAGACACAGACAGCACCTTGCAGAGGGAGGCTCTCTGACTCCCAGATGATGTCAAAGTTGAAGCAGAAAGGACTAACCCAACAAATGAAGCAGATTTCCTTCTAAGAAAGGTAACATCCAGAAGAGATCTCTCCAACGGTGAGCAGGACAGCCTCCACACACATAAAGCAAAAACTGCTGCAAGCACAATCCATAGTCTGGCAAGAAGCCCTTCACACCCCTTCCTGGGATCTAGCAGCAAACTGGCTGGAAAAGCTCCTTGGGGATGCCTGGTTTTCACAGACCTCTCTCAAGGGGACCAGCTAACAGGAATGGGGCAAAGGTGGTGCAGATTTCATGCTTACTTCTCTGCTCTCCCACATTTTACTCAACTCTGGAGTTTGCAGGACACCCAAGAAAGCATGTTGCTTGGGGAGCCCTTCTGCCAACTCAAGGCCATGACAAATGACTTTCTGTACTAGCTAAGGGCTGGGGACAGCCTACTGATAGGCAGGTCCTTGCAGTAAATGGTTTGATTTACAGAGGAAGCATGGGGTCTGCATGAAAGTTTACAAACAAGACCTTCACCTGCCTTTTAAATTCTCTATAGTATCCATCTACTTAATTTCTGATCCAGGGATCCTGGGGACTGCAGCTGAGGTAAGGACTAGAGAGAGGGTGGCCCAATTGAAAATGTGACCTTGCAGCTGAGTACTCCTCCTGGCAAATGTCTTCTTAGAGCTCAGAACCATAGATACTGGCCGATTAATGCTCATCTGTGCCCCAACAATGGCAAAGGTTGTGGTTATCAGCAAAAGTTCCCTTCCTGCCCCCATCAAAATTAAGTCAATGTAAAGAAAAATCAGAAGACTACATTCTGGTAGATATTTACACATTTTCTGTAGCATCTGTTCCATCTTTTGTAGCAACTTGGGGGCCGAGATTGTGTCTTACTCGTCTTGTTCCCTTAGTAACCCAAACATTCTTTTTTTTCTCTGTCTCCCACCTCTGTGGTCACCTGAGTGGTCATTTAGGAAGCCATGTATTATTTCATTCTATGGTGGTTCCCACCATGAATCATGTGGTGTTTGATGTCTATGTACATGTCCCCTTTGTACTTATATGTACATGATGGAATGTTTGAGATACCATAGTTCTTTCAAAGATTTATGAATCATCAGATAGAAACTCCATCTTTCAAGCCAGGTGTGGTGGTGCATGCCTGTAATCCCAGTGGCTCAGGAAGCTGAGGTGGGAGGATCGAGAGTTCAAAGCAGACTCAATAAACTGAGGCCCTAAGCAACTCAGTGAGACCCTGTCTCTAAATAAAACACAAAATAGGGTTGGGGATGTGGCTCAGTGGTCGAGAGCCCCAAAGTTCAATCCCTGGTACCCCTCCCCCCCAAAAAAAACTCCATCTTTCTCTGCCACCAAACCTAACATTTTATTCACATCTGCAACCATCCTCTTCTCCTTGTTTCCTTTATCCTCTTGAACTCACTGCTTCCACTTCTTTTCTGGATACAATATCCTTTAAATTTCCCAAGGAACCTCATTCAACCTACTAACCCCTCTCTGCTCCTACATCCTCATTCTCTCTCTCTTCACAGTATCCTTCTTATACACATGGCTGCCACATAAATTAGTCACTGGCCTACCAGAACTTGCATCTTGCATTTGTTACCAAAAATGAAAATGTGACACCTAGTGAGACTCTCTGCTGCCCTGGAGATAGCATATTCCCACAGCAGAGAAGATTCTTCTAACCCATATTCCAAGTAACCTAAAAGCTTTGCACCTTAAATGAAAGACCAGAATAGGAAACACTCTGTAATAGGTCCAGTCTGGGGCAGAAACCCTGCAACTTAAGCCCCACAGTACATTTAGCAGGTCCAAATGTGTAAGCAGGCCAGACAAGGAGGTTACCAGAGGCCTATTTTGTCCACACCTGCTGCATTACCACATCTTCTTTAATCACACTCACAGCCATGTGGGAGATCCCTGAAGACCAGTTGATGGAGAAGGAAAAACTGTGAGTTCATTTGATTCTTACAGCAGCATTTTAAGACAGGCAATAACATTATACTCTGTTGCAGTTGCAGAAATAAGAACAGAGATCACCACCTAAAGTGGAAAAGGCAACCCTCAAACCTAAGCTCATTGTTCCAAATGCTCTACTATTTCCATTGGCAAGCTTTAAAAACATGATCGAGCTATTATACCATTAGACACTGCGTGTGTGTGCATGTATATAAAATGTTACTTGTGGGAAAACAAAAATACACACATGTAAGTATATTGCAAAAGATGATCTCAGATGATCAGTATTTTAAACACACAAATATATAAGCAAAAATCACTTAAATATACAGGGCACTAACCTGAGTAAGATATGGAATGTCGCTCTGGTCAATTCCAACTTGCTGAAATCACAAGAAAAGAATAGGGAGTACATATTACAGCAAGAAGTGGCAACAAGAGCATGATGCCTTCCTGGGCTAGATCAATAAAAATATCCTGCACAAAAATGCATTTGAAAACAATTTTCTATTTATTCTAAGGATAGACTCAAAAACAAAAAACTTACCAGGTATTGAGTTTGTACTGTTTTGTGAAGATCTAAGCTGTTCTTTAGCTGTCATATAAATGTTCTCTAATTTTTCAAGTAGTCAGAAGTCAGCCATTATTCATATTGTTGTTCTCTTCTCAGTAATATGTGCTTATTCTCTTTGGTTTCTGGAAGTTTTACTACCACTTGTCTAAAGTGGTTTTCTTTATATCTATCTGTCTTTCATGGATTTCTTTAAGCATCAGGAAAACATGAAACTCCCCTGAGGTATTTCTTTCTCTTACCGAAGACCTGTTCTACCTATTGTCCACTGCCTGAAAAGACTTGTGTCATATACATTTGGGTACAGTTTGGGAGCTCTTTCTGGTGGAAAAGTAAGCTTGTTATTGATTATCTTCATAGTTGCAAATAGTGGTCCTTATAGGATTGCTTTTGAGAATAAATGCATTGAATAGTACATTAGTAGTATCTAATTTTAGTTTTTAATTTTACTGTTAACAAAATAGATAAAAATTACTACCAATTTAGCTGTTTCCAGATGCCAGGCCCTGAGCTGTTTTCCTTCTCCATGTTCTTTCACAATGATGTTCTGCCTCACGATGTTGGGCCCACAGACATGGAGTCAGGCATCTATGAACTAGCACTTCTGAAACCAAATTTGAAGATGACACCATCTGCTGGCTAAGCAGTGATATAAATGGACTTCATTACTATGGCAATTACTCCCAATATCACTATAAAGAAGCCTCTGCCATTGCTCCTGGATTTTCTCACAGCTTCAGGCATGAAGCCAGCATCAACTAGGATAATTACTGACCATCACTGCCACATGGTGCACAAGAAACATTTAGTGTTCTTGTTAGGTATCTTGTAACAGCTTACACTATGTGGCTTCTGTTTTTCTTCATTTTAGTGTATCTTTTCAACCCTGTTTTTGTGCCCCAAAGAGTTAAAACAAAGAATGTAAGTACCTAATTTATAATGAAGTTTACCTCATTTAAAATGGAAATAAAAACATTTTATTAATAAACTACAACCAACTTCTGGGTTTCTGTACTAATGATGATGATGGAAAGAGGTGTAGTTATAGTTACACCTGATACTAAAGTAATGCAGAAAATTCTTGGATAGAAATGGATTTCTGTACCTCTGCAGCTTTCAGGAACTGTGCAAATTTGGTTGTTCTTCCAAGGAACTTGATGTAAATATCCAAACTTTCCCTGCATTGGTTCTTCCTCATGTCAAAATACTTATCTAAAAATAGAAAAATTATGATGAAGGGCAAGTCAGAACTGTATTATTTGATCTTGGCAGTCATTTGGATTAGTGTGTAATAGATAAATATGGCAATCCAAGCCAGTGATGTGGCACAAACCTGTAATCCCAGCTACTCTGGAGGCTGATGCAGGAGGATGGCAAGTTCAAAGTCAGCCAGGGTTAATTTAGTGAGACCCTGCCTCAAAATGAAAAATAAAAAGGGACAGGGATGTAGTTCAGTGATAGAGCCAGGGATGTAGCTCAATGATAGATGTCCCTTGGGTTCAATTCTTATTACTAGAAAAATGAAAAAAAGGCAACCCATGTTGATTCTCTGATAATTTCCCAGAAATAGAAGTTACCACTTCTATTAAAAAAAAGGAAAATTTCTGTAGCAAGTTAGCCAAATAAATTTTAACTAAAAAAGAAGATTCTCATATTTTGAATCTACAGAAAATATGAATTTAAATGTAGAGATAATATATATTTACAAAAATTATTTTAAAATTATTTTATCATTTTAAAAACAAGGTTTTATCTTACCTAGCAGATTAAGGATCCCTTCATTATAGGCTGCAAAGAGACGAAGAGAATCTTTAAAGAGGAGCATAAAAGCAGCATGTATTATACCATTAGTTAGTTCATCTGGCTTTGCCTGAAAATTAAAAAAGTATCAAATTACCACACAGTTGAAAACAATTCCTTCTCCCACTTAAATGATGCCATTTATTATCATTTTAAAAGAAAGATTTATAAAGCTCTTACATTAAAATTAAGAAGAGCATCCAATTGGGTTTGAATAACTGGAAGTGTGTTTAGCAGATCTTTGGTATTCATAGTTCTCATCACACCATCCGTCCTATAAAAAAATGAAATTCATAAAAATCAATAATTGAGTTTGAGAAACACTGTAATATCAGCATCTTGAAATAAAGCTGTGTTTTTTGATAAACTACATAGCAGATTACATATATATTTTAGTATTTGCTTATAAATTAGTATTTTACTGACCCTCTCTTGACTTTTGTGATGTCAGATGCAATCAGTCTATACGCGAGTGACTTTTCATTCAAGTATCTGCTGTATCGTCTGATGAAGGCTGACATAGTATAGCCTAAAAACAAGATATGTTGATAATTTCCAATTCAACCAATATTAACTAGTTACAAACTTATAAATGCAAAGATGTATCAGTCCACTTTCACCTGTATACCTTAATTTCTTTGAAATACAAAGTCTAGAATTTGTTTGTTAATTATCTAGTCTAATATTCCTTACACATTCTGTTTCAGATTACTTTTACTTCCTTAAAGCCTTGAAATTACCCCATGATTTGTTGTTGTTGATGGTGGAAAGTCCTAAACAGAGGAAATAATTCTCAATTTTATCAGTTTCTTTCATGTTTACAACAGAAACTATTGTTTCTACTGGCTCTGAGCCAGACCTGTTCTAGATACTGGAAGTTCATCAGTGAATAAAAAAGAAAAAATCCCGCCCTGATAAATAACAATGTGCTGCAATTTTTTGTAGGCTGGACCAGGCTTCACTGAGTAAAGACCTGGAGGTCTCCTTAGTGTCCCTGTCTCTAGCACACAGCATATTCTGTTATTCACAATAACCACTCAAATACGAGTTGTATCAATGAATTTAGGTATTATTTACCTTTATAAAATATATGGCACACTTTTCATAATATAGAATCATTTTCTTAACTAGACATGTTTTCCTTTTTGCTACATAGATATATTTCCATGAAAGAGTCATATTACCTTCTGTGACGCTTTTATCTAGGAAGTTGTGTAAAGTGAACAATGAGTTTCGAGATGCAAGATGTCGGATAAAACGCTGTCAAAAAAAGTGCCAAAATCTAAAATTAGTTTCTGTATACAAAGATAGTTCACTAATTATTTTGTCATTATTACTGAATTATTTAACATAATTCTATCACATTGTTTTTTATTTCACACCATTGATTAAGCTGAGTATGATCACATATATCACAAGTCATCTACATAAAGATCTGCAGTGTTGTCAAATCTCTTCTACTTATATAAATAATAATAATGGGATAAACATTAAAGCTCATGTGAATACATACTTCTCTCCTAAGACTTTCTGTCTAATCATTCCTCCTTTGATTTTGAGTCTGATTTTAAATTAGAAAATAATGCAAAGAATTATAAGATCCAGGGCTGGGGATGTGGCTCAAGCGGTAGCGCGCTCGCCTGGCATGCGTGCGGCCCGGGTTCGATCCTCAGCACCACATACCAACAAAGATGT